AAAAAATATGATTGGAAAAGAAAAGTGAATTTTTAAACTCGATAAATGAAATGGTAACTCTTTGAACATACAATGAAATTGGGTCACTGGGGATAGAAACTTCACTGGAAGGGAGTGCAGCCTCCACCATACTTAATGATGTGCAGTATTTTAGCTGAGCTGTTTCTAGTTAGGCATTTAATTCTTCTTCAGAGAAAGTAATGGTTTGCATTGCTTCCTCAACATAGTTATTACAAATCTTTTATAAACAAAGTGTTGGGTTTTTTTATTAGCAATCATGGTTTTAAAGAGATGTTTTGTAGCAACAAGTTTAAAATATTCAAATGGGAACATTGAGACAGAAATCCACCACACTTCTCTGGGCTAGAAAACATCATTTAATCTTTTCCTTAATGATATGGTTCTTATCTTTTCTTATGGGAAAAGCCAGTTGATTGATTGGGAGTTAAGGGGTTTTTTTAAATGATAATTTTAACACTGTTTGAAATATTATTCTGGTACTGGATTTTCCTAAGTTCTCAAGGCCTTTAAAAAGGAATTTTAACTTAGTGTATGATTCTTTGTCAGAGCAGGCTTGATTTTTATTTCTTAGGCTCTATCAAGTACACAGATGTTTCTAATCATTTTTGATTACTCTGTAAGGGGCTAAAAAAACCAGTGCCAGAAATAAAGTCTGGCTGGTTCCCCTTCCCAGGCAGCCCCTCTCTCCCCTTCCCACCCTTCCCCCAGCCGCAGGCCGCCTCAGCCGTCTGAGAGATTAATGAGACTCAGGGGAACGGAGCAGGCGAGGGGCTGGCGCAGAGGTGGGGTTCTTCCCAGGGCCAGAGCCGGCTGCCGAGGAATGTCAGGAAAGCCGGTGGGTTGGGGGTGAAGCAGTGGGCAGCCCCAGCCATCCCGGCAGGTCTGCAGGGGCCGTGGTGGGCTGCACCCTGTCAGGCCTGGGGACTGGTCCTGTTTTCTCTGCAAAAGGAAGCGTCCCTCCCCTTTGTTACAGGGACTCACCACCTCCATAATGTGGGTCCTGCGAGGAAAACTTTTCCAGGCTGGGCCTTTGACCTTCTAACATCAGCATCTTTGATTGTTCACAAAGACGTGTATAACATTTAGGAGGAGGTTAAACATTTGTGAAGATATTCTCTGTGGCCTTACAAAGATGATTTGTCTTGTCAACATTTGTGCTTCCTTGTGGAAGAGTTTTGTTAGGTTTCTCTCTTTGTGGTCATCTAGTGGACATGTCTTTCTTACACTACATCTGTAAACTTTCTCTTAAGACTATTCTCTTAAGAGATAGACCCTTTGAACAGGAGGTAATCAACAGCACAAAGCAGGACTGAGGGCCAGCAGACAGTCTCAGCACAGCTGGGCGGCCCCACAGCATGGCTCAGGATGCAGGATTCCCAGTTCTCCTGGTGTGGATCTGTGCCCAGGGAACTTTCTGGAACGAGGCTGTTTCCCAGCCAGGCCATTCCTTCCTCCCACTCTTCCAAGACGGCTCCCTCCCACTCACCACAGTGGACTTTGTCCCTAAACTGCTGCAACCCAGGGGCACGCTCTTCTACCCTTCTGGTTTGTCTGTCCCAGTGCCCTCAGGTGACAGTGAAAGACTGGGCATACTGCAGATTGAACACAGGCACAGTTCCTGACATCACAGAGGAAAAACCATGTTTTGTTTCAGTTTTTCAAATGCAGTGCCTTCATTTTTAGAGCATATTTTATAATTTTAGACATATTTTATCATTTTCACCTCAGCAAATGTTTGACTACTTGCTGGGTACAAAGCACGTGCAGGGCAGCCTGTAGGAGGAACTCTGCTGTTCAGCAGCTTTGTACGAGCCATGTACCTGCCATTGTTGGCACCGGGTACATGTCTGCCTTCACGGTCGGGCATGGAGCACTCACAGAAGAGGGAGGCAAGCCTGCTTTCTCTTGATGAGGGTGGGCACACACACATAACCCTCAACACGGCTCCTTTCAGAATTGAAGTGTGATTTGTTGAGAAACAACATGCTGAGGACGGTAGATGGGGAGAGACTTCTAGGGATTTGATGGGGAGCTTAGAACAGATAAACTGGGGAAGTGGGGTTCTAAGCAAAAGGAATCGATCGCAGGGGCCACGTACAGGCAGGACTCATCTCAGAAGTGGGGGATGGGCACTTCTGGCTGTAAAGCCTGTGAGCCTGGGAAAACAGTGGGGACCCAACTGTAGAGACCTAGAGTCCTCTGCTAAGAAATTTGTGCCTAAGGTTTTTGAATAGGAGGATGGCCTGTTTGAATCAGAGAATTCGTGTTTTGAAAAGGTCACCCTGACAGTGGTGTTTAGATGGAAGGAGAGCTTGGAGTTCATCAGGTGAGCCATTGCAGAAATGGGAATGAAGCGATTGGTGTGGGTCTCAGAGGAAGGCAGTGATGAGAAAGCCATCCCAAAGTCTACTTGACAGTGGGGCTGGGGGGGGGGTAGAGGGAAGGGGTCAGGGAGTGAAATTTTTTTGGCCTGGGAGACTTGTTGGTGATAGTTTCCCAAAAGGCAACACCAGAAGAGAAGCTGATTGGGAGGTGGGGGGCCTCACTTATCATGTTCTGGACCCCTACCTTGGAGGGATAGGGAGACAGGCCACATCGCCCAGCAGGAGTTGGAATCATGGGTCTGCTGGCTGGGACACATGGCTTGGGAGGGTGTGGTTGGAGAGCCCACAACTGGGACACGTGGCTTGGGAGAGCATGGTGGAAGAGCCGACGCAGGGGGACAGTGGGGATACAGAGATGGAACCTGGGGACAGTCCAGAGATGGGGAGCTGGTCACAAGCTCCTTAGGTAGCAGAGACGTTAGTGAGCATCTGAGCCCTGTCCTCAAGGGGCTCACAGTCTACGGGGAAGACACTCCACGGCACAGGCCATATAAGGCGAACGGTAATGAGAAGGCCAAGCACCTGTTTTACAAACAGAGACTATGGAGTGTGTGTCTTTATGGAGTCCATGGATGTGCTTTGAAGGACCTAAGAATTAGTTGAGTTTCAGTAGGCAGAAAATGGGTGTGAGGTTAGTGAAAGGAGAGAAGGAGGGAAACAAGTTTCAGCTGAAGGAAGGTGCAAGCGGATGTGGGGAGGTCAGAAAATGTGTGGTGTGTGGGGAACAAGCCAGTGTTGGGAGCATGTGTGGCATGGCGTGTTGGAGCGTGGTGTGGGAGGAGATCCTGCAAGGAGGCTGAGGTCAGATGGCAGAGGCTCGGGAGTGGCACATTATGGAGAGTCTTGGCGGAACAGGAGGGAGCTGTGCAGGGACGCTGCAGAGGGAAAGGTGTGTTGTGACCTGGGCTCCAGGGTGACTGGCTGCGGCGCTGTCATCTCGTGCCCACTCGCGGGGCTCTCTCTCTTCTGATCCAAGTGATGTGTGAAAGAGCCACACACTGCAAAGTATAGAAAAAACTGAGACAGAATGGAAATTTGCAACAGAACTTGTTCCCATTTTATCACCTATTTCACAGTAATCCCCCAACTAGCCTTTAGTGGATTTTATTAGTTTGCCATAAGTTAAAAAAAAAATGAGTATATAGTACTTTTTGAGGAGAGTATCAGGTACAAAAAGATTCAGAAGTTCATATGAAAAAGTGCATCCGATTCTGACAATGAAAACAGAAAATCGTAATCATGCTTTGAAAGTGAAAAAGCACAAAACTATCTGTGTGTTCCAAAGGGAGGTGAAGGCATGGCACAGCCTCTGAGCCCTGGCCAGGCGGCTGGTGATGCTTGTGACACACCTGCAGACGGGAGGTAGAGTTCCTGGCCAAGCGCACAGCCCAGCTGGGAGGGCCCAGCGGCTGGCGCTTGCTGACTGTCCTCTCTTCCTGTGTCACTCCCCAGCTCTCTGGTGGCTGCGAGCTGACGGTGGTGATCCACGACTTCACAGCTTGCAACAGCAACGAGCTGACCATCCGCCGTGGCCAGACTGTGGAGGTTTTGGAGCGACCGCATGACAAGCCTGATTGGTGTCTGGTGCGAACCACTGACCGGTCCCCTGCGGCAGAAGGCCTGGTCCCCTGCGGCTCCCTATGCATTGCCCACTCCAGAAGTAGCATGGAGATGGAGGGCATCTTCAACCACAAAGGTAGGGAGCAGGAGGGCGTGGGTGGCAACGGTCTGCTGGAAGTGACCCTGGAGCCTGTGTCTCCACCTCATTGTTGCCTTTTAATATATATGATCCCCCTTGTCAGTCGTGCGTTCATTTTGTTATCCCTGTCTCCAGGCGTTTCTTACTCATCAGGAGCTGAAGTAGAAATGAGGATTTTACCTACTCAGAAATAGGAAAGGATCTCTTTATTTCCCAGGGTGGTATAATAAGACATGACCTCAGTTTAGAGGAAAAGAAGGGGCTGTTCCAGGGGCCAGTGTCGTTCATGAATGGAGGAGAAAGAGAAGGTGCTGTTCTCCAGTGAGGCTGGTAGTATGGGGAGAGGTGGGACCGTGTTCAACGTCTGCTTAACCAGGTTTTCACTTTGTGGATTCTTTGTTTGTTAGTGTTAAATCCTAGAAAATCAAACACCGAGGCCCTGAGAGGTTAAACACCCTGTTTTTTTTTTTT